TATATATATATATATATATATATATATATATATATATATATATATAATTCTTTTTATTACAATTTAAAAAGAATTAGAGAAAGATTTTGCTAATCTTTTTGATATACCTCTCTGAATTGTAATCAAAATAAAAGGTGCTGAAAGATTCCCTTTCCTAGTGTTAATATATTTGGAAAGTGCACGTGCTTTGTGCCTTATGGCATTTCTCCACCACTGATAAACAGTTAATTCAAATTTAAGATAAGGTTGTTCTCATATTCAGCGCATTATTTTTTTTTTTACTTTCATAGTGCTATTATATCTATATTGCGTTACATTTTTTATATTTTTAGTGTGTGTGTTTTTCTTAAACATGTTTTTGCACTGAAAAAAAGGAGTGGTTTTTAATTTCATTGTACTTGCGTATAATGACAATAAAGGCATTCTGATTCTGAAGATATTAGCTGCAGGTAAAATACGCACAAAATGCATTTTTTGTGAGATGTTTTATTACATTTTTTTTAACTATTTTATTACAGGAGGTGGGGAGTATAATTGGCAAGGTATGTAATTTATTCATTTGTCTCATGATGACAAAAGGTCAATTAGACAGATATAAAATGTTTATTTATTTCCAGTATTCCTGTAGTACTAATATGTTGTTGTTTATCCTCAGAAAGGAGAAACAGTAAAAAAGATGCGAGAAGAAGTGAGTCTCTAGAATAGTATATATATGTAAAAACATTCAGAATTTATTTATTTTAAGTTCATCATTGCTAAAGAGATTATTTAAATTTGATGGGACATTTTGTAACATGAAGGTCATGCATGTTTTATATTGCAATGTGCTTGATTTTTCAGAGTGGAGCACGAATCAACATTTCTGAGGGCAACTGTCCAGAGAGGATTGTCACCATCACTGGACCTACAGACACCATCTTCAAGGCTTTTGCCATGATTGCCTACAAATTTGAAGAGGTAAGAAGAGTCTGCAGAGCTGATCCTAACGTTGAATCGAGTTTAGCTCTTTCAATGTGTTTCTTTAAATACTTAATATATTAGTTTATATTATCTATTTTTTATAGTTTGTTTGACTATTTTTCTTCTTGGAAATTTGATTCATGACTAATTTATTTTTATTTATTTTTGTAATTTTGAGTCTCAATTAAGACCATCACCCATTCACCACCACAATACTTCTAAGAACTCTCTATATATTTGTATGCTATAATATCAGCAAAATACAAAAAGGAAACACTGTTTGTGTCTTTGTATTTATATTTATTTGTCATGTCAATGAAATATCTCCTAAACCACTGGACAGACTTTTTGGAGACACATTTCTAAGTGAATACTTCTAAAGTTTGCAATTCATAATAGCTACCACAAAAGTTTGATCACATACATCTTCAACTAGTTAATCAATTTTTTCAACCAGTAAAGGGTTCCCAGAATCATTCTGTGTTTGACGTGAAAGTACACAGATTAAAACCTTTTAATCCAATGTCTGTTGGGAGGTAAAGGTTTTAGATGACACATTTTTATATTTATAAGCACTCCTCTCCATTTATTAATGCAAATGAAACAGCTGACTCGAAAAACCTTGAAGCTGAATCAGAAGTAATCTGTGCTAATTAAAACATGAAAACACAATCTCTAAAAATTATGAAAAGAAAATTGTTCTGAACTTCTTATACACCACTCATACGTCAGCAATAATAGTAATAATTAATTTAGTTGCCTTTCAGCAATTTATATATATATATATATATAAATTGCTGAAAGG